AGGCTGCAGACCAGGGCCCGAGCTAGAGAAAGCTTTCACAGGTCCTCAGTGGAAGGAGGAAAAGAACGACGGTGTTGGAGGCTTTTCGTAAAGCTAAATTTATTCCACTTAAATGGCTGTCCTTCATTCCGAGATTCTTCCTGCGTTTTTGGTATTCCATATTTCCTACTTAATAACATTTTCCTTATTACTATAAAAGAAATATAGGCATATAGTAAAATATCCAAATAGGAAACAAGGTCGTAAAATTCAAATTCTATCTCCCCTTGACATGCAGCCCCTACCATAAAAGCAACCACAATTACTATTTTCTCATGTATCCTCAATATGTGTGTACAAAATTTGTAAGAAATACAAGTGGAGTTTACACTCTACATACTGCCTTGATCTTTTTTTAACTTAATAATTATCTTGAGGCCGGCCGAGTGGCACGTTGGTTAAGAGTTGGCTTGGGACGCCGGCTCTGAGCAGCAGGGCCCCTGTTCAGATCCCACATGGGGGCCACTCTCGCTGCGCCCTCTACAGCTAAGATGGTGAACAACAGCTCGACTTGGAGCTGAGCTGCCCCGAGTCGCCGGCGATGGTGTAGGCTGCAGTGGGGCTGGCTGGCAGCAGGCGTGAGCTCTCATGAGCTGCCGTGATCGAATGGCTGGTGAGCGACTGCCTCACCCGGGAAGAGCACAATGATGATACCAACATGGGCCAGTGAAGCGACGTCCTCCACAACTAGACTGAAGAACCAAAGGACAGCAGCTTGTCTGTTCCCCTTCCCTGATTCCCCAACTCTGTTCCCCTCCCACAATCCCCCAATAAAATCTTTTTAAAAAAATAAATACATATCTTGGTATAGTAGGATAAATAAGTTAATTACTGAAAAAAATGTTTACTGAGTCCCTACTTGGTTAACCACCAGAATTGGAGAACTAGTGTATGCGCTAGAGCTACAGCAGCAAACAGGACAGACATAGTCCCTGCTTTATTGGAGTTTATATTGTTATGGGAGAGACAGTCACACAACAAAAATAATGATAATAAAATAGAACAATTGCATATTGCGATGAATGCTAATTTTAAAAAAGACACTGAACAGAGACTAGTGAGGGGCAGGGGTTGGGGAGACTCTCTGGGGGAGGTGACATTTATATTAAGACATGAAGGATGGAGCTGGCCTCAGGAGGAACAGGCAGACCAACATTCCAGGCACGAGGAGCTGCACATGCAAAGACCTCCACATAGGAAGGAGCTTGGCTTATTTGAGGAACTTAAGGAAGGATAACAGAGGCAAAGAGATGGCAGGGGCTCTGTTGGAATGCACTGGGAACCTGGGGAGGGTCCTTAAGGGGTGTGTGGCATGGTCTGGTTTGTGTAGATGCTCCCTAGGGACCAGCTCAGAGGCCAGTGAAGCATTTCAGGCAAAGGACAATGGTGGCCTGGGCTGGGCTGCTGGCTGTAGGAAATGAGGCAAAGGGGCAGATTCTAAATACCTACTGGAAGTGGAAGGAAGTGCTTCAGTGATGGGTCCACTTGGAATGGGGTGAGAGGAAGGGAGAATTAAAGGTGATACAGGTTGCAAAGCTTATGGATTCAGGGTGTCAGAAAAGGTTTTAACTTGTTCATTTTGGTCAGCAGTGCCTCAAGAGCATTCCAAGCAAAGAGCTAAATGTTGCTGTCCGGAGCTCCGAGGAGAGATCTCAGCTAGAACTATAAACTTAGGAGTTACCGACCTGCGACTTGAAACATCTTGGGGTAGGCTGGGGTGTGGAAAAGAATGTTACAGTTGCTGACTCAAGATGCCCATTTTAAAACCTAGCTTAAGTTCAACTTATAAATCTTATTATTGCATTATAAATCTAGTAATTTTTCATATAGAAATAAGAATAATCACTTGTTCTTTGATGACTGTTGAATTCTTAAGTTTAGTCGATTCAGTCCTTAAACATTTAAGATTGACAGCATTAATCAAATTTCCTTAGACATTTCAGACTACAGTTACAAATTTAATGTACCTGATTTTCTCAAACACTTTAAATACCTAACAGGGCATACTTACAAATCTAAAAAGCAAGATCTTTCTAAGCACTTAAGCAACTGTTGTAAATTAATTACCTAGACTTCTAAATTTGGCAAATCAGATTCTCTTGGCCATTTCAAGAATCTTGAATCCAACACAAAGCAGAACAAGGGTCACAGAAACTTCTGTCCTGTATTAATTTCTTCATTATCTGAATGTTTATATTTCCTTTCTGGAGTTACAGACTTCCCCCAGCAAAGGGATCAATTTTTTTTCCCAAATATTGCTATTTGGAACCAATCTACATGATAACCTAGGGAAAGCTTATTATAAAGCATCCCTTGAAGACTACAAAATTGTACATAAAGGATAGTTAAAAGCATATGTCCCTGCCCCCCCCCAAAAAAATATATGGATGTGGGGGTATCAGTCTGGTACCAATTAAAAGATAGAAACCACACAATAATTTGAACAGGGAAAGATTAATATAAAGATGTATTAACTATAACAGGGGACGGTAAGAACAAGTCATTGCCTAGTGAGCAGTAAAGAGAACTCTCAAGAATACAGGCATAGCAAGTTTATGGAGCGGCCAGTACCCCCCAGGGCTGAGACAGAGCACCTGAGGAGAAGGCCTCCTGCTCCCATTCTCCCTCCATCCCCCACCCCTACCCCCCGTTTGCCCCAGGAGTGATGCCAGGGGATGCTGGTGCTAAAGAAGCTGCGTGTAGTGCAATAGCCTGATGCTGGACGCAAATGCTGTTTGAAAAAATATTTAAGTAAAAAGAATATATGTGAGAGATGTAGAGCTCTTATCCATACCAATGATTTGGAACCAACATCATAAACTGCCTTGCAGATACCCAGCTGTTCTCTGTGTATATATCCGAGCTGCCCTGCTAGAAGATATTCTCTTTTAAGGCAAGGATTATGTTTCATCCTCTTCCTGTGGCCACCTCTGAAATGAGTACACACAATATGCTCAATAATTTACTTTTGAATATATGAACTCTGAGGAAGGAATGCTAGTAAACTGTGCCTTTTTTCCATTAATTTTCTAGTTTTTCATACTTAAATGCAATAAATATTTATTGGAGAAAATGCACAAGTAGAACAAAAGGAGAAAGCTATCAACCGTATTTCTACTCCCCACAAATAACTACTGTTAGTGCTTTGGTGTATTTTTTTTATGTACAAATAGCTTTTTTCTTCTTTTTTGAAACAGATGTATGTACATACATCATATCTCATACGTAATCTTATACCCTGCATTTTTAACATAAATAAAGCATTTCTCCAAAGTATCAACTCTTTGTCGAAGAGTCAGTGCTGGATTATTACATATGGAAAATGTTTATAATGATGTTGAAACTACCTTGAATATTGAGAACATCATAAATGACTGCAAAATATCCCAGTCTAAAGATATTAGTTTATTTAAGCACTTCCCTTGTGGATGTTTTAGGTTATTTTCCTATTATAAATAATCCCATAATGAACATTGTGTTCAAAATTTTCTGTGGTAGATCAGTTTCCTAAAATGGCTGTCCCACATGTGACATTACTAGGCTAGAAGAGGCAAATACGTTTAAGGCCACTGAGGAAAATGTAAGATCACAGGGCATCTGCTTCTAGACATGGAAACAGGTAGCTTGCCCTTTTCCAACAGGACACGAACCAGGAGTCTCTTGAATGCCACCTCGTCCTACCAACACTGTACTCACCTAACACTCCCTGACCCCTCCACGCCCCTCCCCCCAAGAAAAACCCTGCCCAGCCCTAAATGATTGCATGACCGCATGACGCTGGGCTAGTCCCTTGGGGGCCTTTGGCCCTCATTTGTCCCCAAAGCTGCCCAGTGGAGAGGTGGCCTGACTTCGTGGGCTAGACCAGAGGATTTCTCTGTTAGACTTTCTGGGTGTGTGTGACGTTCTAGACGTTGAACTCCAAGCTCAAGGGCTTGGCAGGGCTAGGTCACCTCGCGGGCGGACCGGGAGGCTTAAAACACTAGAAGCTGCAGTTTACAGAGCTCCGAAGCTCCAGGGAGGGCCCAAAACACTGCAAGCCCTTCCTCAAACCGAGATTGGCCCCTGGCCCTTGGTCCTCCACCCCCAGCTTTTTCTCCCTCTCCTCCGCAGCACGTTCTCTATCCCCGCGGTTCACCTAGTTCACCCTTCAGACCTTATTCCGACGTCTGCTGCTTCTCAGCGGAGGGGTCACCCAAGTCCCTGGGGTGGGGGTCGGGGGGTCTCCTTCTCTCCCTTCTCTTTCCGCTCGGTCCAAGCCAGTCCCAGTCTCCAGTCTGGGGTCTGCGCCACCCTCAAGCATCCAACTACCTTGCAAGACTCGCCATCAAACTCCCCATTTCCTTTGCACATCTTTCCACGTATCTACATGGGTTTGTCCTCTGTCTTTCCGGGCATGACTGGCTTTCTGTCCTGTTTCTCCCACCCTGCCTCCCATCGGTCTGCAGGTCCTCTGGTCCTGGTCCCTCCGTTTTACCCGGTCTGTCCCTCTCATGACAGTACCTCTATCCCCTTTTGCCTCCCCCTGGCCCCCC